AGGCGTTCTCTTTACTGTGGGAATCGTCGCATCATTCCCCGTCGGTTTGGTGGCCTTGTCCGGCTGGTGATAGGCTTCTTGATCTTGTTGGTCGCTTTGACGGGCATACTGTGGCCCTCGTATACGTATCTACCACCGCACTACCAGCTCCTCCACCAACAGGCTTCTCGAAGCGGCATTACAGGGCGAGGGAACCCGCATAATGAGACAGTTTTCATTGCAGCCATCCTCTACGACCCGGATGGTAAGCTAGCCAATGGGAGATGGGGACATGATTTGTTGCACCTAATCAATCTGCTAGGTGAAGAAAACGTCTTCCTCAGCCTCTATGAGAATGGCAGTGGCATTAGAGGTCAGAGTGCCCTTCGAGATCTGGAGGACCGACTGCCGTGCAACACTTCCATACAAATTGAACTGGACCTGGACTTGACTGCATTCCCGACAGTAACAATCCCCGGGGGAGGGGAACGGGTGAAGCGAACAGACTACCTTGCAGAGATGCGGAATCGTGCCCTATGGCCACTAGATGAGCATCCAGGGATTGTCTTTGACAAGATACTATACCTGAACGATGTGATATTCGATCCAATTGACGTGCTTCATCTTCTATTCTCTACTAATGTCGATGAGAACGGGGTAGCCCAATACCGGGCCGCATGCGCAGTCGATTTTATCAACGCGTTCAAGTTCTATGATACGTATGCCACAAGAGACCTGGAAGGTTATGGAATTGGCCTCCAATTCTTTCCTTGGTTCACCTCAGCGGGGTTGGGATCCAGTCGTAAAGACGTGCTGGAAGGCAAAGATGCTGTTCGGGTGCGCAGCTGCTGGGGCGGAATGGTGGCCTTCGATGCAAAGTACTTTCAACGACGCGACCACCCGGTTCGCTTTCGCGCCGATCCCGATTTGTTCTATGATGGATCAGAATGCTGTATTATTCACGCCGATATTCAAGATCCACCATTGGACCATACAGAGACCGCAGACACGGGTATTTACATGAACCCGTTTGTGCGGGTAGCATACGACGAGCGCAGCCACTCCTGGCTGTGGGCCACACGGCGGTTTGAGAAATTATACCCACTTGTCCACAATATTGCCAACCATCTGGCTGGCTTGCCCCGACACAATCCTCGTCGGAGCGAAATTCCCGGCCAGCTGGTCAGGGATACGGTTTGGGTGCCCGATGCGACCGATGCACGCGGGGGCGCGTTCCGTGAAGTGGACCGTGTCGCAGGGAATGACGGATTCTGCGCAGATGGATTTGGAGGTTACCGGGGCCTTTCAGTGATTGTGGAGAACCGGCAGCCTGGACAGGATGGCTGGGAGGATATCCCGGTCCCATCACTTTAGTTGTGCGCTCATAAAATGTCCTTGGGCATACTATAGACTTGCAGAGACTAGGCCACCCTAAGAGTATCGTCTTCTTCTTCAGCGGATAGCCCTTAGAGTAACAGACCCTGGGGCACTTTGGACCACGTTCGACACCTGCCAAACACCGTTCGACAGAACTTGCCATACTCAACTCGCAAGTTGAACTCTCTCCAAGATCCTTGGGCGTGATGGTACAAGCGCGCAGAGGGGTCCGAGATGGGCTTGGATCCCATGTTTCCATACTTCCCTCGACCGGGACTGTTTAGAATTAGCGTATGACAAGAGATGCATGTGAAGTAGACGGGCTATACCTGAATCCAGTGATGGGCAAAATCAAGACATCCTCTACTAATTTACTTTCCCCTCCATCGTGCAAGCCTGACAACGCGTTCCATCGGAGGCCGACCACAGCTTCGAGCCAGTTCTGCACTGCATGAGTAAATGCGACAGGTCCAGTGAGGGCAAGGGGGTCCAGCGCGTTCAGAACGCTCGAATGTGGCTGAAGCGCAGGTTCCATGAAAAGACGGTCGAGAAAGATCTGCAAGATTGGATGACCTGGCGCCCAGGCAAAGGCCCACTGCGTCAGCTGCACGGGCAGCAGGTATCCCATGCGCCAGTAGGTATCACTGTTCGGCGGACAGTCTGCTTCTAACCCAACGATTGCATGGACAGAACCTGTAGAATTATACACACGCCCAGTCTCGCGATCTTCCCAAGGCAAAATATCAGTCTCGGCGATCCAATATGTCGGCGATTGTAGGGGCTCAGTGTCGATATCTGCGTACTACGTGTTTGTCAGTTACCTACTTGTGTAATGATAAGATGACAGGGGCATTCCACTCACAACCCCTCCGATCCACTTGCATACGAGAATCCGGAAGACATCCGACCGTTCCACGTGGCTGGGTAAAGCATAGAACTGTTTCTCCCGTTCTGGCTCGAACCGCCGAATGAACTGTCGTATTCCGTCATCGTCCCACAAAAAATAAGCCATCTGCTCGTCCACCGCGCCCAACCATTTCTCCGTGCTCTGCTGTAACACGTGTGGCCAGGTGTCAACGCGCGTGCTCTTCCAGGTTTGGTGGACGATCAGGGGGATTGAGGAGTGCGGGATCTGTCGTTCAGTCGACTGGGCCAAGCGCAACACTCGCTCCGCGGCGTCGACAATGTTCTCGGGATGCTGTTCCGTCTCATTTGTCCAGGTCGGTGGGATGTACCACGCTGGAGACGACCTGTCTTAGCCGACAAGTTCAAAGCCTTACTCAGAAGTCATATGTTGCTTACCTCCACCACTGCGAGTGTTCGTATGAACGCGTTCAAACAGCAATGGGTAACGGTGTTGAAGAAGAGAAATCTGTTTAACCGAGGTATCAGGCTGTTGAAGTAACCAGGTGAAAAGCACTAGGAAGCAAAGTGCGCCCAGCACGGGACGTCGTAAAATGTAGCGCCAGACCATCGTTGTGATGAGTATAATACTCCAGGGAAGGCGGGTGGGGAGTCGATTTATCCGGCATCAGCAGAGGTTAGCAAAGGCCATGATAATCTTTCATTGGGGGGTGGCTAGGCAGCCATGGATATGCCTTGTTCTTCGACTTTTTCTGCGTTGGGGCTAGTCTTGACTGCAACGCCAGGCCAGTGTATAACTTCCCGCGGGTCCCGTCACTTGTAATGCGGCTGCCTAGCAATGGCCCCTCAAATTCACCAACCCTAAGCTCAGAACCTTGCCCTGGCTGGACCCTGGCTACAGTGACTACTAATCCAAGGAAGTACTAGTAGGTGTCATAATACGAGGTCAATCACACGTCCTGGCCAATGGGGGGCTGGAATGGCTCGCATGGCTTACAGAATTCGAGCCATCATCAGGGCCTGCGCCCTACGCAGCCCTAGCCGCGGTGGGGTCGAAGCTTAGTATTGCTTGGATTCGTGGACCCTTTTTTAGGCCAGATGGCAGTGCATCTCTGGTGGGGGCTGATTCACTTGTTGTTATTACAAAGAAAAAGCTTTCTGCCATGTTCGCACTGTGGTCTCTCTGTGATGAGCATAGGTGTGATTGGCTGCGTACCCTGGCCAATTTGCTGGCACAGCATTACCTATAAAGGGAAACACTACAATCCTCCAGACGCGGGACTGTCCGTAGTACCAGTCGCGACTTGCCAATTGCTGATCATGTCTCCACCCTTGCTCTCTGGTCGTGTCAGCACAGTCCAAACCCAGGGGAACATCCCACCGGCCTCGGAAAGAAGCTCGGAAAGTCGAGTTGTCCAGGCAGAAACGGAACCGGAGGATTACTGGTGAAACCCATCTGCGATACACACAAATACCACTGGCGTGTCCCGTATCACAACTGTATTACCAGTCGGAGCTTGCCATTTTGGCGGCTCAAAACCTGTCCATCACTGCCTCCTTCACTATTCAATTACATCCCTCAAATAGCCTCTCCATATCCATTATGTACCTTTTCCTTCCTTGCGATGCCTTGTCTCAGCCCCAAAGCCTTCCAGGCACTGTCAGCCAGCCGCAATGGCTCCCGCGCGCCTCCGACTCGTGCTGGCAGCCCTCCTACTATTCATTCTAACCTCCCTGCTCGCCCCGTTTGTCTGCAATCTTTACCTACTGCTTCGATTACCCTTTGTGTGGAAAGCCTCATCTGCCGATGCTATCATCACTGAACAGAATGATGGATTCGATTTGACCTTTTCCGACTACAACAGCACATACTCCGTCGCCGACACTGGGTTGCCTGTTCCAGTCCCCGCAAGGCTGCACCACGTCCAATTGGGCACACAGACCCCACGGGCAGAATGGCAGGCTGCTCGAGACGAGTGTCTCAAGCAACATCCGGACTGGGAGGCATTTCTATGGACCGACGAAAACGCTAGCCGCTTCGTGCAGAATCACTATCCGCACTTTCTCCTCACCTGGGAAAGTTACCCGCACCTTGTCCAGCGCGTGGATGCATTGCGATACATGATTCTGCACAAGTATGGGGGTGCCGTGTTGGATTATGATCTGGCATGTAAACGGTCGTTGGAACCTCTGCGTCGATTCGAGTTCGTCGCGCCGGCGGCCAACCCCGTTGGTATCTCCATTGGCATGATGCTCGCGGCACCGAACAATACCTACGTTGGTGATCTGGTGCGGAACCTGCCAACCTTCAATCGGAGATGGTCGTTATTGCCTTACATCACAGTTATGTTCAGCACGGGATGCCACTATGCCTCGTATGTCGCTCTCGGACGCTTAAGGTGAACAGATATTGGAGCTAACAAGTTATAGAACCATCTACACCATGCAGCGCGATACCTCTACCCTCCGCGTCCTAACTGGTCCGCCCGAGAACCCACGAATGCATATGCTCAACGGTGTGGTCAATACCCCGCTCTTTCGGCATCTGGGCAGTTCCTCCTGGCACGAGAAAGATGCAAGGTTCATCAAGGCGTTTGCGAATATGGATCAACGGGTGGCGTTTGGAATGGTCCTGGTCGCCTTAGCAGGAGGATGCTGGGCTGTGAGCCTATGTGTGTCTCGGGGCCGGGCATGGCACCAGAAAGACGCAGTGTCACAGGAGATAGAGTTGTTGCAGAAAGCACATGATTATTGAATACTTGTAATTTCTAGCTAGATTTCTGCTCACGGTTTTACGTTTGGATATCATATTGGAGACAAATAGTTTTGCTTAATGAAAGAATATTTGATAGAACATAATCACAGCTTAGGCTATCCGATACAAATTATTAAACCACATATAACGGCTCACTATCAAGTACAACACCCGGTCCCATGAGTACTGACTATCATGTTGACTGAATGCTGTTCGCGCAGTTAGGTAGGTCTGCCACGGACTTACCAGCAGCGCTCTGTTTCCGTATATGTCGTGTCCTGTGGGTGGCGGTGCGGCTGTCAGGACCGCTGCCCCGATGCGCCAGGCGAATGGCACAGAGGTCAAGATCAGATCAACGAGCGACGAGTACTTGCGCAGGAGGAATGTACTCTGTAGGGCATAGACTGGCGGGGCATGCGGAAAATCCTCTGCGTATTTTCTGCTCCCTGTTAGCCTCATTGCTTCGAATAGTATGGGTGCCATTCACTTACCGAACACCGGCACTTACGGCCCTATGGTTGATATGGCCGGAGACTCCACCGTTATCGAAGGTGAAAATCTTCTGTAGCCTTAATACCTGGCCACTAGTTTTGAAGGGTTGAAGGGAAACGTACCAGATCCACTTTCCACATGTGAACGTAATGGGCGACTATGTCCTGAATGACATCCTGGCGCCACCACTTCTTTGGATTATCCTGCAAGGCACCGTGCTCCAGAACAACGCAGCGAGCAGATGAGATGCCGAGTGCGGTACAACTACGTTCAATTTCCGCCTTGCGGATATCTCCTTGGCCATGATAGTCGCCTGCACCTCATTAGAAGATATACTACTCGGAAAATTTCTGGTGGAGTGATGACTTACCCGTCGATAGCACCAACAAGGAACGAGTGACATCCGGGTTCTCGCGACCGTGAAGGATAGTTGGGCTAAAGAACAAAGTCTCGTCATCGGGATGTGCCGTGACGAGAAGGACGTTCCGCGCTTGCTGGATGGTGTGTGGAACAAGACGCGGATCTCCCGCGAGGTAGTATGCGAGAAGAAGATACAGGAAGATGGAGGCCGACAGCAGGATCAGCGCCGAGTATGCTATCAGACATCTCCAGTCATGTCGCCGCACTTGGCGAAGTAGGCGCCTGAACAGGCGGGTTGGGGTTGCCATCGATGGGCTCGTTGTTGTTTGTACGGAAGTAGTGCCAAGATGATATCCTGGCTGGGTGTAATCGGGTCCTCCACACGGCTATGCAGTGTGTGGCATCTCCCTGCACTGAATTATTCTGATAGCAGGATAGAGAGGAAGAAAAACCCTCGGTCTCTGGAAGGCCTGAGGAGTGTCGGGATCCGCGGACAACATCGATGTCGTGTATGTAATCTGTGGTAATATATGATTCTGAAATACATCAAGTTCTACGTATGGTCAGTAATAAAACCGGGTGTGACGAAGATCGGGGGTTTCCGCAGCTCGCACAACACACGCACCAGAAGCTTCGCCCATTAGCCTCAATTCCAATACGCAAATATACTAGGCAGCAATATAGGCTTCTTCCGTCATTGGCTCGGTTCAATAAGCTTGATGTGTCCTTCAAAAGCGAGTGATTTACCTGGCCAATGGCTGCAGCACGAGGATGATCTAGCGTTATGGCCAAGGGGCTAAGGGTGAAACAAGGCTGACAAGCTTTACTGACGAAAGAGGGAAAAGAACACCACCTTTGTTTAGTAGTTCATATGTAAGACCAACTGAACTGGAGCCAAAGTCAGAGGCCTATTGGTTCCGGGCTTGCCCCGGGGAAATGAGCAATCTTGACGAGCCCGTTATAATAGGGGTCCTGTCAGACCTCCGTCATCCAGATCGACGCGCCTAGCGATCGGCCCCAGCCGTCATCAAAGGTCTAGGCAATGAAGCGATCGATCACTAGGGAAGCGAACATCGTATTTGCTTAGCTGTATGCTGAAAATGGCCCCCGGTGCTAATGGTAACTTCTTGCTACGGTCTCACCATATGAAGTAGGGTTTGCTTAGCGCAGCCACAGGGTATCTAGCTGGGGTCCTCCTCGTTGGTTACACCAATAACCTGCCAACAAGTGGGAGGTTCTTTCGCCCATCTGCAACCGGTCATGCAACTCCGAGTAGCTCGCGTTCTGATGACTGCAATTTCATCATTGAGCTGACGCACACGATACTGTCTCTTTCAGTGCTAGGTCAGGAAAATCAAGCCCCATGAGTATGGAGAAGATGGTCGTGTACTTATAACGAGGAAAGACTTGCCCATTCATGAATTGCATATATGTATGTATCATGATATATAATATCGGGAGCTCTAGGGCAATATGGACTGATGAATCTGCCGGCACATGTCCCAGGCAAGTAACTCCCCGTGTATCCCACGGCCCATTGAAAATGCCTCCTCTTCTCGGGGATACTTATAAGCCATGAACTGACAGGACAACAGTTGGTTGTCGAGAGTTTTTATTCTGAGCGACGTGCAACCCTTCTGGCGCCACACATGCGATGCGTCCGGAGCAGGTGCAGATGACATGCAGGAAGGTTGCCACGGCAATCCCGAGCTTTTCTCAACACATTGTCATCTTCACTCATGAATCCAACTCTCTCCCTACCAGTTGAACTTCTGTATCGCACGATGCTCACTCGGCTCAGTCTATACCTCCTGGCTCTGTTCTCTCCCGCCAGTGGCGATAGCAACCACCAACGAACTTATTTTTACGTTGGGGGAAACTACTCGGTCACTGAGAATGGCGAGCATGTATACACTAACCAGATCTATGTCGAGAAATTGACGCCCGTACAAGTGACTCAGCCATATCCGATTGTGTTTGTCCATGGCCAGGCTCAGACAGCCACAGTAGGACAGCCTAGACTCAGTTGGTGGAATAGCACTAACAAGACATGGACAGAACTGGTTGAACAAGCCAGACGGCCAGCCAGGATGGGCATCGTATTTCCTTGACAAGGGCTACGAATGCTACCTGTTCGATCAGCCGTTCCGCGGCCGCAGTCCCTGGCAAATCTTCAACGGTCGACTGGAGACGTACTCGGCCGAACACCTGCAACGATACTTCACCGCGCCTGAACGGTATGGGCTATGGCCACAAGCTTCCCTGCACACCCAGTGGCCTGGGACTGGGGTCATGCATGATCCCATCTTTGACTCCTACTACGCCGGTGCTGTGCCATTTGTCAGTGATAATGTGCTGCAGCAAACAGCCATGCGCGACGCGGGCGCCGCTCTGCTGGATCAGATTGGCCGGCCAGTTATTCTGATAGCTCATTCGCAAGGCGGAATCATGGCATGGCTACTGGCTGACCAACGGTCCGATCTGGTTCACTCGATTGTCTCCATCGAGCCTGGTGGTCCACCGTTCAGCAACGCAATGTTTGGAAATAGTTCTGCTCGAGCATACGGGCTGACGGACATTCCTATTGCGTACTCGCCGCCTGTGTCGGACCCGAGCACAGATTTCTCCACCACCATCTTGCCGTCCAACTCGTCAATCCTAGCAGACTGCATCATTCAGGCGGATGATCCCCCTGCGCGGCAACTGGCAAATCTGAGGGATGTTCCCGTGCTCCTAGTGACGACGGAAGCATCATACCATGCGCAGTATGACTGGTGCACGGTAGAATTCTTGCAACAGGCCGGCGTACAGGCTGAACACTTGCAGTTGTCAGATATTGACATCCATGGTAATGGCCATATGGTATTCCTAGAGAAGAACAGTGATGAGGTTGCGGCGGTTATTCATCGCCGGATTGGACAGTCGGATGACATGGATGGCAAAGCTGAGCTTTGATGTGATCTTAGCGAGAAGAATAGGGCTTGCTTGAAGGGAGGCGCGTCTCAGAGTAACCTTGAGATCTCCAGGTAGAGTGCGCTCGTCTTGTTCAGACTGAGCTGTTCATGTTATGGCTATGAAACTCAGCGATTGTCTTACAATAATTCTCTGAGCCATTATTGGCATCGGTGCGCCTAAATCCATTGCCGGTGACGTTCCCAGAGAATTGGTACCTGGGGCATAAAAACAGTGCGACGCATGGGCCTCTTCTAACGTCAACGGCCACGTAAGCAAGCTGTAGGCGATAGAGAGGGAATCGACCTGTCAACAAACTGGAGTCAGGCTAATGATCCTACAGAATATAAACTGAGATGAGTGCCGTACTTCGTTATTCCTTGGCAGTATGCAGCGATAGTAGAGTATGATGCTTCCTCTGCTAATACGTCCAGAGCGCTAATTTGCCAGCACAATTGCGTCCCATTGAGTTCTATCAATTAATACAATTTGTATATAGACTCACAGCAACATATCTCCCAGCCATAAGTCATGGTGCCGAAACGCGACCGTGGGAAATGTTCTCCCCAGGCAACCCCGGCTAAGGGCACCGGGGAGGACGGCTGCCAGTACTGCCTTTTTGGGCAGAATTCCCCACTCCCCACCTCCCCGCGAAGCGGAGAAACGGAGTAACAGCCTCTCCCCTATTTGGACATTGGGGTTCGCACAACAAAGAAACTGAAGTCCAACGGTATAAGTCGGAGGAAGACCCAATATTCTTCCATATAGCATCACATTTCAATGGTTCTCAATGGCATCCACCACTGCGTGTGAATCCATCTCGCTCACCGAGCCAGGAGAGCGGCCGATCTCGATGGTGCCAGAAGCACCACACAATGATTCTTCCGTTACCGAGGCTAAAGTCCCTTACCTAAAGCTCATCGCATCGGGCTTCTCCTTTTTCGTCGCTGGTGTCAACGACGGCAGTTTAGGCTCCTTGCTTCCCTACGTGCTTGAGACGTATCACGTTAGTACCGGTCTGGTAATTATCGTGTAGGTCCGCCCGAAGCATAAACTCACCCACCTACGGTTAATGATAGTTATGCTAGTTATGTTACAACTCTCGTGGGCTGGTTGGTGGCCGCCCTAACCAATAGCACCGCCTGCCAATACCTTGGATTAGGTTCTATGCTCGCTCTGGGGGCTGCGCTTCAGGTGCTAGCTCATATCCTGCGTGCCTGGCTTCCGCCGTTCCCATTGTATGCTATAACTTTCTTCCTAGCTAGTCTAGGACAAGCATTCAATGACACCCATGCCAATACATATGTCGCTGCGGTCAAGGCCGCCCACCGATGGCTCGGCTTTATCCATGCCATGTACATGGCTGGGTGTCTCGTCGGACCATTGGTGGCTACCGCTGTGGCGTCTGCTAATAGGCAGTCACAGTGGAATTTATTCTATGTCTTTCCACTTGGTTTGGGGTTAATCAACCTGATCCTGGTATTGGTAGCCTTCCGCGATAGCATGTCCGTCCATCATTCCTCAGAAGCCGTTCAAAGCGACGACCCGCGGGCTTCGGGTCAGAACAGTCGCGGTACCCGTGCCGTAAGGGAGATCAAGGATACACTTCGTGTACCAGCTGTCTGGTTGACAAGTCTCTATTTTTTCTTTTTCCTGGGAGCGGCCATCACGGCCGGTGGTAAGTGAACCCATATTCGGTTAAAGTAAAAAAGAGACTCACAGTGGTTAGGATGGATTGTCGAGTACCTTGTTCGCGTTCGGCATGGTGATGTGCACCAGATGGGTTATATCCCGACGGGGTTCTATGGCGGAGCTTTTCTTGGTCGACTAGTTCTAGCCGAACCTACTTATCGTCTAGGAGAGCGTCGCATGATATTTATATACGCTGCCCTGTGTGCTGGGTTAGAGCTGGTGTTCTGGCTGTTAGTTCGCCCAGTGTTGCTCTCCACATCTTCATTACCTGACACGCACTATAGGGTGCCCAACATAGGCGTTGAGGCCATGGCTATTTGCTTGTTGGGCTTCTTCTCGGGGCCCTTCTTCGCAACAGTGAGTTCTATTACATTCTACCATCACATTCCCCGTCTAACATCGCACGCAGGGAATATCGGTCGCATCTAAAATCTTTCCGGCTAACATTCGTTCCTCCGGGATTGGTACGTGGATTCCCTAGTAAGCCAACAAGCAACGTGTTAACTCTATGTACCCAGCATTCGTCTTCGTGCTGGGGCAGATCGGAGGATCGCTCTTCCCCGTATTGACGGGCATCATCTCTTCCCACACCGGCGTTAAGGCCCTGCAGCCCATGTTATTGGCTCTACTGTGCGCTACGGGTATCAGCTGGCTGCTGGTGCCCACTAAGGCGCCGAGACTGCGTGCAGATTGATCTACAACCAACAAGTAACTGTGGTTCCTGGCTACAATTGACGTCTATCAGTTGCTTTCTACGCTTTATGTGATCTTCGGGTTGTTTGGATAGGACGCGACGACATTGATGATTGGATATTGGATGAGAAATGACATGTCAAACAGACTATGCTGTCACCCCACTAAAGAGAAAACGAGTAGGAACCGGCAGAGCTGCTTGATTGGGAAGGTTAGGCGATCGCCTGTTTGGGAAATCCAGGTGATTAGATACAGTATAAGTCGGGGATTTCCCCTTACGAACCAGTCGAAAGGGGTACTGTCGTATGATCGTATTCAGTTGCAATTTGCAAAGCATGCGTGCGTACTCGAAAGGCTAAAGCTGAAAACGCAGGGTAGTCGCAGATATTCCGTAGGTATAAGGATGGGAAATAGCTACAGGGCTAAGGATATAGAGAGGGTCGTCGTAAGCAGGAGTGATCTACAAGGGGCCTGCACGCGAACAATCCCCGGCAAACATACCCGTTTCAGTACATCTCCTCCTAAACGATCTTTGCACATGACGAGAAGAGGGGTAGAAGATGGTGCTCTCCCACCAGATCAACGGCTGGTTTGGAAGACAAAGCATCAAGCCTCGCGGTACCTTAAGGAAGTAAGAATATCACTACAAAATCATCGAAACTGATCCATCAGCACCAATGGAGGTGAGTCTATCTCTGCTGTCACAATATGCCAAACTAATGCGCGGGGCAGAACCCCTCATTTGTCCTGCGCGATATCAAAGACGTCGTCATTGAAGACCGGCCCAAACCCATCCTCAAAGACCCTCACGATGTGATTGTCCATGTGGCACAGACAGGTATTTGTGGAAGTGATGTATGACTTTCTTCCCTCCTTTATCCTCACAATAAGTGGTCTATATAGTTCCAGGTTAACGTATCGCCCAGGTTCACTAGTATGGGTCCTCTGAAGTATCCTATCATGGACAAAGTCTTTGACATAAGTTCAGCTGGCAACGCGGTCGCATCGGCGATTTCATCCTCACCGGACCCATGGTCCTCGGCCACGAATCCTCCGGCGTAGTTGTCGAAGTCGGTGACAAAGTCCGACACCTCAGGCCGGGCGATCGCGTCGCCATGGAACCCGGCGTACCCTGTCGTCGTTGCGACTACTGCCGCAGTGGGTCGTATAACCTCTGCGGCGACACCATCTTCGCGGCGACCCCGCCTTGGGATGGCACACTGGCCAAATACTACGTCAACGCCGCCGACTATTGCTACAAGGTGCCAGACCACATGACTCTCGAGGAAGCAGCCATGGTTGAGCCTGTATCGGTCGCTGTGGCCATCACCAAGACAGCTAACATGCAAGCCCATCAGACCGTCTTGGTTCTGGGCTGTGGTCCGATCGGCGTACTCTGCCAGGCCGTGGCCAAGGCCGCTGGAGCAAAGACCGTCATCGGAGTGGATGTGGTTCCATCCCGACTGGAAGTCGCCAAGTCGTACGGCGTCGATCACACGTTCATTCCCTCGCGGGCCGAGCCAGGCACGGACCCCATGGTGCACGCGGAGCGGGTGGCCATACAGCTGAAGGAAGAGCTGGGACTGGGAGAAGGCGCCGATGTGGTGCTGGAGTGCTCTGGTGCTGAGCCGTGTGTCCAGTTGGGTATCTATGCCGCCCGCCGGGGAGCTACGTTCGTGCAGGCCGGTATGGGCAAGGAGAACATCACGTTCTCCATTACGGCGGTGTGCACGCGTGGGTTGACCATCAAGGGATCGATCCGTTATCTGACCGGATGCTACCCGGCGGCTATTGATCTGATCGCCAAGGGCAAGATTGATGTGAAGCGGTTGATCACGAACCGGTTCCCGTTCGAGAAGGCCGAGGAGGCGTTTGAGTTGGTCAAGGCAGGACGGTCGGATGTGTTCAAGGTCATGATTGCGGGTGTGCAGGATTAATCCATAGATACAACATAGCATACGTCGGGTTTGTTGGTTGGCAGTCAGTGTGGTTTAGTGTGGAAGGGGATTCCTATACCACCACGGGACAAATCTGGGGGGATTTTGGCCGCTGAGATGCGCACGACCTTCAGAAATCATAATAATTACCAGAATTTACAAAATACTCTCTCTAGAAGTAGTATATAAGCCGGTATATATGGAATGTGTCATGTACACAGGCTGTCAATTAGTTGCACTATGTCTCTGTATATAATCTTACATTGTAGGAGGTTCACATCACAGGTTGGTCACACAAGGAGCAGGTAGGCATTCAATGGATCACCCCTCAGGAGAACGGACATCCGTCGCTTTCGGCACTGCCGACAACGCTCATGGTAGTCGTGGCCGTCACGAAGCTGACATCCTGAGTGCTGGCCTGGGACGCCGTCTCCGTTTCATACAATGCTGCCGTCGGCGTGGGAACCTTGTTCAAGGTCACAGGATGGGAATAGTCTGAGCACCAACCAATAGTCTTAGGCACGATTCCTGGCTTGACAGATCTGGAGGAGGCAGGAGCAGGAGTGGATGAAGGAGCCGGGAGATGAGAGGAGTGGTGATGAAGCAGATGATGATCATGATGATGACTGTGGTGGAACAAAGCAGTGCTGGACGCGGTAGGGCTCACCGTGACATAAACGGTAGATGCTGCAGGGCAGGTAGACGTAGCAGATGCTCCGGGTGCGGTAATACTCGTATCAACACAGTCGGTCGCGTTGGCCGCGTCGGAGACGAAGAATTTCTCGGACTGGGCGTAGATGATATAGACGTTGGTGCCGTTGATCCCGCTGATCTGGTAGCCCCACTCGGGATCGGTGTCGCAGGGGATTTGCACGGGGTATGACAGGTCGGAGGTCGGAATGTCAATTGCCAGGGGAACATAGGAGGGTGGCCAGTAGACGAAATTCCAGAGATAGAGGCTGAAGGTGGTGGGATCGGTGTCAACGGTGGTCCAGTTGACGGTGATGGTGGAACCGGCGGCGTAGGTTGAGTTGAGGGCCGGCTCGGTGATGCTGATGGCCGCAGCCAGGGAGCTGAGGGTGAGGAAGGGAATGACGAAACGCATGGTCGCGGAGTAGAATTTGGCTCAATTGAAGAAGTGAGTGAGAACAAGAATTGAATATCAAATGAATAAGTGAATGCGATAGGCGACCAAACGAGTGACTAAAGGGGTCAGAAGGGCGCGATGCAAGGGGAAAAACCGTTGACCCCCATGGCAGGATACTGGGCAGATGCGAAGATATAAGCAGCCTCCGCTTGTGCTTTTCTCCGGAAATTGGAGGCTGTACTCGTGTCACTTTCAAGATTATGCTAAATTTAAAATCAAGCCACGCGTTCCCAACTATCGAGCCACTAAGGAAGGATGCCATCGGCCATTGGCTCTGTTTGAGACATCCGAGTGGAGCGGCGTGCTCGGGCCCGCCGACTGGAAAATCAAACCGTTCCAAACAGGCATCCATCTACACTATTACTTGCTCGGCTTCATTTTGGAAGTTAGACAGAACCCTATCTGGGATTGTTCGCATGTGATCTGAGAAAATCATGTTCTTCGAGTCCTCATCTCATACTGGTGGCGCATCCTTCCACAATCTCTCATGCTATCGCCGATTTAATATATGTTCATATATTGTTATCACTGCTAATGAGATAACTGCTTGAGAAATATATAGTACTGATTATGCAAGTTAATGGCGTCTATCGACAAGGTGTTGGTATTTGTATTTTAGACCATTCTCTTTTTTCTCCTTGGCTGTTATGTAAGTTGTAACATGCGATAACCTCAATCACCGTTCTCCGACGCACCTCCGTGAACTGGGAGCAGGCTGTCTAACCGGCGATAGCCTCACCCTCCCTTCCAAATGGCGGCCAATTATTGTAATTCTGGTTCGATCCTCGAACGGTCCATATTTCACTTTACCACCGCGAGTGTTCGAGGCAAGAGGAACACCTTTCTTAATCCGGCTTATGAGGTCCTGGATTTCTCCATGTCAGCTAGGACCAAAGCTCACGAACGCTATTGTCAACCCACCGGATTGTAGATAAATGGCCGTGCAAATGTCACGAGGTTGATCTTCCCTCTTTGTAATAGATCTCTTGCTTCCTCTACCGTATACTCGCGGTTCACCATGAGCATAGCGCGACTTTTAGGATACTTGATGAGAGTGCCAAAGTCCGTCAGAGGCTCGTACTTTGGAGGCAATTCTTTCCCTTGAGGCCTGGGTCGGGACCTGAAATAGTCATCGGTTTCGCGCCCCACATCACAACCTCGACGCGATAAGTTGATAAACGCGAGATCACGACACATTAGCTCCTTGATGAAGTATGTGTAAGTCTCTTTCATTTCTTCGTATGAGATCATGGTGTCATTATAGTCATCTGTAGGGCAGATCTTGATCCCGACTGCTCGAGATCCCCAGACCTCAATAATGGCATCGAGGACTTCGAGCGGAAACGGCAGCGATTCTCGACAGAACCACCGTATTGGTCACTGCGTGTATTCGAGTGTCTAGATAACAGTTAAGCTCGTGAAGCATGCATTATGTGGAGGGATATCGCTTACGAGCACAGGAAGTTGTGTATAAGATACCCGCTAGTCAGCCGCAGTGTCAGTTACGATGGCCGTATCCACGAAGGGTCGTCTTTCTTGCGTCCTTACCCGTGTGCTAGTAGCTCAATTCCATCAAATCTAGCAGACTTGGCCAAGCTGACAGAGTGCCGATATTGTCCGACAATGACTCTCGGGTCATCAATTTCGGTGATGTTGTCGGTGTGGCCCGGAAGTTCCTCCAATGTACGATATTTTCCGCCCTTGGCAGGTACCTTGGATGGTGCATATACTGAATATCCTGATTCTTTCAACATCGGCATATTATCATTCTGAATGCGTCCTATATGTCATATATAATCTACAGTCAGGAACCTCACTCTCTTACCAGGACAACGAAAACATCAATTGGCAGGACTCACCTGGATGCCATGGCTGGAAGAGAATCTTTCCCCCAACCTTGTGCACCTCGCTTGTCACCTCGGCCCAAGCATCTGAATGGTCTTGGTTGTACATTACAGGCGCGTGGGGCCATTCGGCACCGTTCAGGCTGATAAAGGTGCCCTCTGCGACGATAAGCCCGGCGCCGTCCCGCGCTCGGTCGGTGTGATGTTTGATGTTCGCATGGGTCGGCTTATTTCCATCGGTGCATCGATTTCGCATCATGGACCCCATGCAAATACGATTGCGCAATTGAATCCCATCCCCGAGGATGACTGACTCGAGAAGCTCCGCCATTGTAATGCTCTTGACGATTAGCGAATGACTGCAGGAAAGGCTAGCTTGGTGAGAAGAGTAACCTTAAAAAGACGCTAGATGGACATGCTGATTTATATCCGCATTCTGTCCAGAATGAGGTCACGCCACTCTGTTTTTTAGGTAAAATCTGCTTGTTTGGAAGGCGATGATTGACGAAAATGAATTCAGTCCGCATCTTGCAGGCTTACTCTCGCGTATGTCATCATGGCTATCAGCCGAGACGATATAGAAAATGAATGACATCATTTCAATAACTCGCCTGTACTGATTCATTACTACTCTTTCTATATTTCACATAAATGTCATCATGGTGGACATTGCACTGTGGAACATGAGAGTGTCTAGATGATAGTCCTCGGATGACTTTCCCGAGCCGGTAACTGGTTATCGACGGCCTGAGGCTGCTATCGCGGCCTCCTTTGCCGAATCACCGAACCAAAGATTCCCCCCAGCTTTGACCATCCTCATCATGGCATGAGCCTTCTTGTTACTCAAAGAACATCGTCCTACCAAAAGAATGGCTTTCCCGGTGCGATCTTAAAATGACAGTTCTTCTTACAAGCATGTCCCCCCCGCCCCTCTGCCATGGAGTTCCCCACGTGAAAGGAACGGCTTCTGGAAGGCTGATTGCCAGCCACGTGGAGTTGAGTTTCTGGGGTGGCGTCGACCCCCAAACAGGCCGGGTGATTGACCAACACCACCCCTTGAATGGCCACTCTCTGGAAGGTAGCATCCTCGCCATCCCAGGTGGTCGTGGGTCCTGCTCGGGCAGCGGGGTGATGCTTGAACTCCTACTTAACAACCGCGGACCTAAGGCAATACTCTTTGAGCGCCGTGAGGATATCCTCACCTTGGGGGTAATGGTCGCGGAGGAGATGTTCGGCAGGGCAATTCCAGTGATAACACTGAATGCAGACGACTTTCAACGGGTGCTGGAACTGCATGATACTTACATCACGGTCGGTGATGGTTACATCTTCGACAAGGAGTTATCCGGGACATTGCATGAACTGCCTGACTGTCACTCCAAAACACCATTGGCGCTGACCACAAAGGTGCAACTGTCCGAGGTGGATAGAGCATTGATTCAGGGCGAATATGGAGAAGCTGCTCGCGTGGCCATGCGGATCGTTCTGCGAATGTCCGAGTTACTAGAGGCTCGCGAATTGATCCCGGTCACCCAGGTTCACGTCGATGGCTGTATTTATACCGGACCTGGATCGCTAATGTTTGCAGAGAAACTGCGCGATCTGGGAGGTCAGGTCCTTGTTCCAACCACCCTGAACTCTATCTCTGTCGACCAGAAGCGATGGCGCGCTCAAGGCGTAGATGTGGCGTTTGGGGAAGCGGCCGACCGGTTGGCCAAAGCGTATATTGACATGGGTGCGCGGCCAACTTTTACATGCAGTCCCTACCAGCTGGATAGCGCCCCTAAACTCGGAGATCAAATTGCTTGGGCAGAATCCAATGCTGTGGTGTATGCCAACAGTGTGCTTGGGGCGCGTACCATGAAGTATCCCGACTTTCTCGATATCGCCATTGCTCTCACTGGCCGCGCCCCCAAAGGGGGACCACATATTGATACCAACCGCCAAGCTACACTGATTATTCGGTTACTAGACACCGAGGGATTGCATGTCGATGACTCCTTTTATCCTGTGCTTGGGTATCACGTAGGGACCCTGGCAACCAATCAGATCCCGGTGATCGTGGGCCTTGAATCCCTGGCCCCGAATTGGGATGACCTCAAGGCGTTTGGGGCCGCATTTGCGACTGTCTCAAGTGCCCCGATGTTCCACATGGTTGGTATTACACCAGAGGCGAGGACCATAGAAGCCACTATCCGACCCGAAACCCACCCACCTTGTCTGGATGTGAAGGTGGAGGAGCTGACACCCTGTTGGGATACACTGAACACTGCATCAGACGCCCAAACAGTGGATCTCATTTCTCTTGGTAACCCACATTTCTCACTGAGAGAAATTCGACGATTAGCTACCCTATGCAAGGGGCGTACGAAATGCGAGGGGGTGGCGGTGATGGTAACCTGTAGTCGGGCGACATACGGCTTGGCTGATCAAGCCGGGCTTGTCCAGGAGCTGGAGAGGTTTGGTGTCCAATTTATCACTGATACCTGTTGGTGCATGATTACAGAACCCTTCATCCCACAATCTTCCCACGCCGTCATGACTAACTCCGGAAAATACGCCCATTATGGCCCTGGACTCACGGGGCGGAAATTCTACCTGGGCAGCTTAGCCCGGTGCGTCGAGACTGCCTGCCAGGGGCGTCCAGTTGACCATTACCCGTTCTGGATGAAGAGGAAGATGTGATTCCTTAGATCTTGCTGGCATGCTGACCATGCACAACGCATCCCTCAACGTCTGAACCCTGGCTTCGTGTGTGATGCCTGAGGCATCAATCCTTCGGTCGGCGACAGCCACCTGACCCACTCGGGTGAAGGTACCCGGAGTGGATTGCATGGAATTCTTCCACTTTCTGGTGGTGCAATAAAAAAAGAGCCAAAAGTCTCTCGAAGGTATTTCCTCAGACTATGCCATGGCTCCGACCGGAGCGGATCCTGTTGCCGGAAAGGGTCCCCGACCTTTTGGCTGATAAGGTGACCGGCTGGAAAGGAAATCCTCACCCGTTCCAACCCCGCCTGGTTTCTTTCTTCAGAAGTATAAATTAGTAGTTCCACCAACGCTCCGTCTTAAGTCGCATCATTCGTCTTTCACCATCAATATTCGAGTTTTCAAACATGTCGCAACTCTCCAACTACCGTCTCCTCAGCTTCGATGTCTATGGCACTCTAGTCGACTGGGAAGGTGGCATCTTGGCCGCCTTCCAGCCCAGCCTCGACAAAGCCAACGCCCACTTCACCCGCGAACACCTCCTCACTGTCTACCATGACTTGGAGCGCGCGCAACAAGCACAGACGCCCGACATGCCGTACTCGCAACTCCTCGCCACCATCCATCCTCAGTGGACCGAGCGCCTCGGACTGCCTCAGCCGTCAGAAGAGGAAAGCCGCAAGTTTGGAGAATCCATCGGCAACTGGCCCGCCTTCCCGGACACCGTCGACGCGTTAAAGCGACTGGCCCAGAGGTACAAGCTGGTGGTGCTGTCCAACGTCGATCGCGCTTCCTTTGCCAAAACCAATGCTGGCAGCTTGCAGGGATTTCCCTTTGATCTCATCATCACTGCACAAGATGTGGGCTCTTACAAGCCAGATCTTCGGAATTTCGAGTACCTGCTCAAGGCAGTCAAGGAGCAGTTCGACATTGAGCCGGCGCAGGTACTGCAGACGGCGCAGAGCCAGTTCCATGACCACCACCCGGCACGCAAGATGGGGTTGAAGTCCGCGTGGATTGAGCGGCCAGGGGCAACAATGGGGAATCTGTTGGAGACCGTCTATGACTGGCGGTTTGATACCTTGGGGGAGATGGCTGATGCGGTTGAGAAGGGACTGTAGACTAGCGAGTTCGCCATGTTCGATGTTCCGGGATCTTTCGTGGACTATATAATAGAACGAAATAGGATAAACCAATGAGCATCATGTCCATAGACTCTGAGCAAGACAGCATGCACAAAGCGTGTTTTGTACCAGCAAAGCCTGAGAACCGGCTAAGCGGCGCCTGTGAACCGGGCCGCATCCCCACCCCACGCCAGTCTCGGGATGCCAGCCGAAGCCATTCATTACTTATTGCCCATGTATCCCTCCAGTTTCAGTGGCCCTATTCCTCACAAGTTGGCCTTACACTAAACTCCAGCACTCCCACTATGGATTTAGCCCACACTCTAGAGTCCGCCCCTAGCGGCGAAGTCATCAAATGCATTGACATGCACACAACCGGAGAGCCCACCCGTATCGTCTACGCGGGGTTTCCTCCCCTCAGCGGGACACTGCTCTCCCAGCGCGACCAAGCCCGGGATCAATATGACCACCTCCGCAAGCGAATTATGATCGAGCCTCGTGGCCACTACGACATGTACGGTGCCATTCTCCGACCAACCACTGAACTGGTCGAATCCGGTGAAGCTCACATCGGTGTTCTCTTCACCCACAACGGTGGCTTCTCCACCATGTGTGGCCACGCAACCATCGCACTGGGCCGATTTCTTGTCGATACGCATGATGTGGCTGTTTTTCCGAAGCGAAATGAGTTGGTAGTAGACGCTGCGTCGCAAACAGTTGTTAACTTGCATGCGCCATGCGGATTGGTTCGTATCACCGTCCCGATCAAGGACACGGCCGATGGGATCAAGTCCGATCCGTCGCGGGCGGTCTCGTTCCTGTCCACACCAGGTTATGCTGCTGCGACCAATATTACTATCTCCATTCCACCTGAGATTCGATGGACTGAGCTTGAAGGGCGTGAGAGCATCACCCTTGATGTCAGCTATGGAGGGGCATTCTACGCGTTGATCAATATGCACGAGCTGGGATACGCATCCACGGGACTGAGAAAGGTCGATCTTGATTCACTATCACAGGTGATGAAAAGACTAAAAGCGTATCTTGAAACCTATCCCGATATTCTGTCCGCCTGTCAGCACCCTGAAGACAAGAGACTGTCGTACCTATACTCCATCATGCTGGTGGACACGAATGTCGGACACAGGCCAGACAGTGTAGCTGGAGCCGAGACCGGACTGTGCTTCTTCGCCGAAAATCAGATTGATCGGTCACCGACAGGCTCATGTGTCACGGCTCGCATGGCGCTAGCGCATGCGAAGGGAGAGAGATCGGTTGGTCAGCGGTGGGCTTACAATTCGATTGTCTCCAATCGCTTTCAGACGGGTGCGTTTGAGGCTGAGATTGTAGAAACGGGATTGCGGGTGGAGGGTGGAAATGCCCCGGCCAAGGATGCGGTGGTGGTGCGCGTGGAGGGGAGGGCATACTACACGGGCACGTCGAATTTTATGGTCGAAGAGGGAGATATTACGAGTCATAGTGGGTTTGTAATGAGTGATATGGCAGTGTAGCTTTTGAAGCGAATATGAGGGGAATGTAACATAAATATGAACCAGTATGAGCTGGATGTCAGCTGAATATCCCCTATACACATAGATGTCAGGTTTCCTGGGAATTGGCATTCAACAAGAGTCAGAAACTATTTTAAACATTGAGCGAAACTCTAGGGGAAAAAACCCTTCCGTCGACAGCTTAGAGTAAGCTCATTTTAAAGTACCCTGGCGGCATTGCTCTGTCTTGTGGACGGGACCAGGATCACCAAACCCTTGACCGTCAGGGCGTATCAAGACTGTTTCTCATCTGCCATTCATGAACGTGTCATTAGCTCGGGTCGAATTGGCAAACACCTCGTCGTATTAGACCACCTGTCTAAATAGCAGGAGGGAGATCTTATTGCAAACCAAGTGATTTAATTTAGAAAATTGCCAATGTAAGGCTGTGGGAGTTTTCCCCCCAGCCTTGTCAGTGCGGCTGAGCTGCGCCCCCGCGGCTTCCTCCCACCCTACCTCACCGCAACAAGAATCAGTTGCTTTCCCTTTACCTTACCCCAGGTCTCGTCGTCCATACCATTTACCTTTCGAGAAGTCCGCCATTCATCACTGTACGCTGTATCCTGTTTTCTTATATTTAAGCATCGAAGCGTCGCGACGTCACCCTGAATGCCACATCAGCTCGCCGGTTCCAGGTTCAGAATACGCTCGAAGCCACGAATCGTCCTTTGTTATGGAAAACCCACAGACCGACCCCAATATGTCGTCGAGGCAGGATGGCTTTAGCAGTGACAACAAACTTGCTACCAACAAGGCAATGGCCTCCAGTGTCACCGACAATCCTCGTGCAATAAAACTAGAACACAACAGTTACACAGTCGGGTGGGTATGTGCGCTGCCAAAGGAGCAGACGGCTGCGACAGCAATGCTAGATAAAATCCATCCACAACTACCAAAACCACCAAGCGACCCTAATACTTACACCCTGGGGTGCATCGGGAGGCACAACATCGTTATAGCCTGCTTACCGAAAGGCCAGTACGGCACGAATTCAGCATCAGCGGTTGCAACTCGAATGGTAGGCACTTTCCCATCCATTAAGGTTGGCCTTCTGGTTGGTATCGGCGGTGGCATTCCACCAAAGGTCAGACTCGGGGACGTCGTGGTCGGTACGCCCGTTGATCAGTGTTCAGGGGTGGTCCAGTGGGATTTGGGCAAGGCAGAAGCAGAGGGTGGCTTCAAAAGAACCGGCGTACTAAATAACCCCCCGACGGCACTGCTGACGGCATTGACGAAGCTAGAAACGATGCATGAGATGGGCGGACCCAAGATACGTCAGTATTTGGATGATATGGAGCAGAAATGGCCTAGATTGATGCCAAAGTATACCAGATGTGATTCTCTTGTGGATCCTTTGTCTGGTTCTGACAATTGTGCTAGAGAAAGCCAACACGGAGAAGGACATGTGCACTACGGTTTAATAGCGTCCGGTAACCAGGTTATCAAGGACGCTCATTTCCGTGATAATCTAAACAAGAGCCTCGGCAGGAATGTGTTGTGTATTGAAATGGAAGCAGCTGGGTTGATGAACAACTTTCCTTGTGTTGTGATCCGGGGCATTTGTGATTATGCGGACTCAAAAAAGACTAAATCTTGGCAAGAGTATGCTGCAGCTGTTGCAGCGGCGTATGCAAAGGAGCTTCTGGAGTATGTCCAGCCAAGTGATGTTGATGGGGAGCGCCCAGTGAAAGACATGCTTGGCGACGGTTAGTTATCCCAAGACCACATGTCACGTTCAAAGCTGTTTTCTAATTCGCCCCATAGTCTTGAAGTGTGTATCGAGAACCGAGACTAACGTTGAAACAATGAAGTCGAACTTCGACAGAAAAGGAGAACTTGATATCCTTGAATGGCTTACACCGATCGACTACGGTCCTCAACACAGTGACATCTTAAAGAGACGACAGTCAGGGACTGCGCAGTGGTTCTTAGACTCTGCAATATACCAGGCATGGATAAGCTCAAACAAGCAGACATTATTCTGTCCCGGTATTCCCGGCGCAGGAAAAACAATATTGACGGCAACGGTCATTGATGACATTACTGCCCGATTCCTACATGACAAATCCGTTGGAATTGCGTATGTTTACTGTGACTTCCGCCGGCAAAACGAGCAAAGTGCGGAAGCCTTAATAACAAGTCTCCTAAAGCAATTAAGTCAATGTCGGCCTTCCCTCCCAGGCATTGTGCGCAGCCTCTATGACCGGCATAGACATAGACGGACCCGACCAGAACTGGACGAAATTTCAACGACACTCCGATCTGTGGGTGCTATGTACTCGAGAGTCTTTATTATAATTGATGCGCTCGATGAATGTCAGACATCTAATGACTGTCGAACGAGGCTTATCAAGGAAATTCTGAACTTCCAGGCAACTTGCGGTGGAAATACTTTTGCCACTTCAAGATTCATTCCACAGATCACTGAGAGATTCAATGACTGCATGACACTGGAAATCCGTGCTCATGATCAAGATGTTCGGGAATATTTAAGAAGTAGGATATTGCAATGTGAATCGAGGCTGTTGGCCTCCCACAGTGAAGAGATTCAAACTGAAATCACGAAAGCTGTCGATGGAATGTCAGTAACTTCCCCTCTCTGAGTAGGACTGAACAACCTAACATTTATCGAGGTTTCTGCTAGCACAGCTTCACTTCGACGCGGTGAAATCGAAAAAAACTACGAAAAGAGTAAAAGAGGCTCTGAGGGGCCTTGCAAAGGGGTCTGAAGCATACAATGATGCATACGAAGATGTGATGCAGCGAATTGAAGGGCAGGACAGGGATTCCCGGAAGCTTGCACACGATGCTCTATCGTGGATCAACAGTGCAACGAGGCCGCTCAGTACATTGGAGCTTCAACATGCACTTGCTGTAGAAGCGGAGTCAGAATTCGACAGAGACAACATTCCGTTTCTGGATGACATCATCTCTGTCTGTGCAGGCTTGGTCACAGTTGACGAAGAGAGTGATGTCATTCGATTGGTACATTATACAGCGCAAGAATTCTTCCAACGAACGTGGACCAGGTGGTTCTCAAACGCACATCATGGCATTGCAACAGCTTGTGTCACATACCTCTCTTTCGACCCCTTCAAAGCAGGCCCCTGTTCCACAGACATGGATTTTGAAGCGCGATTAGACACATACCCCCTTTTCTCCTATGCAGCGAGGAACTGGGGTCATCATGTTCGGACACAACAAACGGGAATAAGTCTGATAGTAGCCCTGCTTGAAGATACACCCAGGCTTAATGCCTATGTGCAAGGCCTTTTCGCTCGCAAAGAATTTCCAACTCACTGGAATTATAGCCAACATGTTCCCAATTTGTTTACAGGACTCCATCTTGCATCATACTTTGGGCTAGAAAATGTGGTGCTGTACATGATTCAGCAGGGGAAACAGTCGGAAGCTATCGACTCGTTTGGTCGACTCCCATTGACATGGGCAGCCTTTAATGGGTACGTGGGAGTAGCTCAACACCTGCTGGAGAGAAGTATCAAGTCAGATTCAGGAGACAATGATGGTCGAACCCCACTAGCGTGGGCAGCATGCAATGGCCATGAGCAAGTGGTCAAACTTCTGGTTGAAAAAGGTCTTGACCCAGGCTCGAGAGATACCTTCGGCCGTACTCCACTATCATTAGCCGCCTCGAATGGTTTTGTGGGAGTGGTGAAGCTCCTAGTGGAGATTGGTTCAGATCTAGATTCTAGAGACGCAGATGATCGAACGCCTCTATCATGGGCCGCCTTCAAAGGTCATATAACAATTGTGCATTTTTTGCTGGAAGGTGGTGTTGATCCAGACTCCAAGGATGTGGATGGTCGAACCCCTCTTTCGTGGGCGGCCTACAACGGCTGCGAGGCAGTGGTACAGATTCTGCTAGTACACTCTGTTGATCCAGACTCCAAAGACGAGATTGGGCGGACTCCTTTATCGTGGGCGGCAGATAATGGTCACGAGAGAGTGGTCAAGCTCCTATTGCAAAAAGGAGTTGAAGTATCCTCACTCGATCAAACAAGTCGAACCCCGCTCGACTGGGCATCCTATTACGGTCATAAGACAGTAGTCCAACTCCTTGTGAGCAGAATTTCTCATAGACACCCACACGTCCTTGGTGCTACCGGTGGAGCTGCTGTGAAGCAGGGTGATATTCAGAACAACGAACCTCGGAATCCAGGTTCCCGTGCCCACACCCCAAGCACGACATGGTCGGATGGCCATGAAGTTCGAGGTCAAGACCAGCAGAAGCAACAAGTTGGGGAGCCGAGTTTGGAGAGTGCCGGGATTACTCCAGCAAATGGTGACAGTCAAAAACGGCCACTGTCGCCGGAAATCGCCTCGCCTCAGACTGTGCCCTCCCTCCACTCTAAATGGTATTGCCTGTTGTGTCCTGAGAAAAATCGCTTGTATACAAGCAGAGAAACCATCCTAGGACATATACAATTGGCTCACGCTGTCCAGTTTTATTATTATTGCACGGAACCTCATTGCCCTGATGCTATTGCACGCAACCCTAATTTCAATAGACTTGACCGAGTTCATCATCATTATATGACGAAACATGGAAGGCGGACAACCTCTCAGGAAATCCACCAATCCCGACGAGAAGAGCCCCATCCTCGTTTCTGTCTAATTTGCTATACATTCGTTCACTCGTGGCGGAAGTTCTACAATTGTGTCGTTCGCCATTGTCAGGATCAGTGCTCTTCGACTGTCAGCGATGAACAGAGTGCCGCTGGCTCACAAAAGAGGAGGAAAATCAAGGATGAGATTGGAGGATCACTCACTGCTCCAGAATTGACGCGTGACGATCATGCACCGCAAGATCTTCAGATGCAGCTGATGCTGCTCGAGCAGCAAAACAAACGTCTATCAAGAGAAACGTGATATTAGATGTACGCCAGTGACTGAACGACTGAAGGGACTAGTGCATGAACCTTAAATCTATTTGTATTTATAACGCGTAAGCGATGAACGTGGCAGAGATCTATTGCCAGCTCGAGGTATGACTATCGTTTCATGGTCGAGAAAGAAGAGAGGATGAGTTGTTACCCCTTGTCATGAGCACAACGGACTGGTGTAGATGTGGATTCTGCGCACTGACCCGCCGTCTGGGAGAGCCAGTCAAAAGCCCCGTATAGCCGGCCAGTTTCGAGTCAGATTGATGAGTAATCTGGCTGGTACCAGCTAGACTACTTCCATCGGAGCTTCAAGGCACTTTCAACCCAGCATTAAGATTCCTTCTGACCAATAGCGAAGATCTGAGAATGCCGTCCATTAAAGTCTTCACTCGCTGGCGCCCTCCGCTGCCATCGGAAGCGGCTGCCCCTGAAATCGCCCGAACACAGGCCTCCAATCCCGGGCAAAACACCACGATCGCACTAACACCACCACCATCCCAGAAACTCTCTCGCCCCTGGAAAAGCGACTCAGCTTTTACCGAGATATTCAACGCAGACGACTCTAATCGAACTGTCTTTGAACATGTCGTCGCACCGACTCTTCCCCGGGTTTTAAGCGGGCAAAACTGCAACTTCTTCGCCTACGGACACTCGGGCAGTGGGAAATCCCACACCATCATCGGGTATGATTTCGAGCGGCCAGACGAGTTCGGACTCTGTTTGTCAGCTGCAAAAGCGCTCTACGAGCATCTATACCAACTGAATGAGAATACTAAGGAGAATGAGACACTTCTCCTAGGCCTCCGCATGTACGAGCTACGGAAAAACATTGCCTTTGACTTGCTCAACAACCGATGCAAGTGCCATATCCGCGAAGGCGCTGACGGGAAGACCCACGTCCGCGGCGAGACGGAAACCCTCGCCGATGGGAAAGTCCGCGTGCGTCCCATCGTCACCAAGCCATGCTTTACTTTCGAGGAGTTCCATGCTCAGCTGTTGGCGGGCATCCAGAGCAGGGCGACAGGCACATCGACGATTCATGATCAGAGTTCCCGGACACACGCTGTGTTTGAAGTTGAGATTGTTACGAGAGAACTACTGGATGCGCGGGATGCCGTCGTTGAGCGCCAATCCGAGCTGGTACCGGTCGGGAAACTCGCAACAGATATCTACATCGAGGAGAATATGAAGGCCATTATCCAGACACCGGATGGCAAGTATGTCCCGAATCCGGATTATCAACTCAATCAGACAGCGATAGATGAGGCCGAGGCAAAGAAAGCAGAATATGAATTGCGGGTCCAGAAGGCGGAAGAGTATGTTCTAGAAGTGAAAGAGTCATGTCCCCATGCCTGCCTGGGTGGAAAGATGGTATTTGTGGATCTGGCCGGCTCAGAGTACTGTCATGACAAGGGTTCCGTGTTCACCATGCGGACAAAACAGACGCCTCAGGAGCAGCAGGAGAGCAGACAGATCAACACTGATCTTCTTTCCTTGAAAGAAGTCATTCGGGCTATGGCCCGGAAGCAGGCCCGGATTCCGTTCCGGTCATCGCCGCTGACGATGGTCCTGCGCGAACACTTTGTCACGGGCGGCGATGATGGAGTTTCGGCGATGATCCTGACCGCTTCGCCCTCGTCAGAGCAGTATAACGCAACGATTGATACGCTGAAATATGGCAATCTGATTGGAATGGCTGGAGTTCGTTAGAGTCTAAGCGGAAAGGCGGTTGCATCCATCTACTTGATAGCTTACATGATTACGTAGATCGGTATATATAAATTTAGTCCCTCGTATGGTGTACTGCACTTCCACAGTTAGGAATATGGCTGGAAATACAAACGCTTCCGGATCTATGTAAAGCTGCTACCGAAAGCTCAATGGCCTACTTTCTCCCACGCCTCATTTGTATTCGCTAACATCCTCTAGTCCTGTATCGCTGGCACAGCACTTTGAGGACTTCAGCCAACCACTTGAAGTCCTTCCGCTCAAGATAAACCTGGGCAGAAATTCTCACCCACAGCCAGCCCCCGTGCTCAACAAGGGGCACGAATGTCCCATGCTCCTCCACCAGAGTGGTTTGGAACCACCTGACCGCTGCCACAGCCTCATCGGCTTTCAAAAGCGTAGCAGAAGAATCAGAAGCTGCCAAATCCTCCCTGAAAGTGAACGGTAACCGGATAGTGGCCATAGCACATCGCCTGAGATTGCTCTGCTTCCCCGGCTGTAGAGCTCTTTCCTCCATAACGTCCGTTCCAAGCGTCGCAGCAACGATATCAGCAGCCTCATTTACCAATCTTTCCAGGTATTCGTAGATACGGGCTTCGCCACCACAGACCGTCTTGCGAAATTCCAAGGCGGCTGGAACACAGAAATAGGGCGTATCATCATTGGTAGCGACAAATTCGAAAAGACTCTCAAATGCACTCTTTGAAGAATCGTCACTCTTCATGACAGAAGGCGCCGTCGCAGGAGAGTCTTCGGACGGGATGAAGCCCCAGGAGGTGGGAATGGTGGTTCGAATCAGATGTTGGTTGCGTTTCGGAACATAGAGCACACAGCAACTCCGGGGGACAAATAGCCATCTATCGAGGGTTGACATATGAGCCCACTGCTGGAAAGTTACCGAAAACGAAATTCAGCAGAAACTTACTTATGACAATTACTCGTGAAGAAGTCCGGCTGTAGCGCTGCGAGATCCAACGGCAGCTGACCAATGCCGTGCGCGCCATCAATCAAACTCAGGATGCCCTCTTCTCGACAAACCTCAGTGAGTTTTTCAAAAGGGAACCGCACAGCCGGCAAGCTAGTCACGACATCAAAGAGGGCAAGCTTCACATTCAATCCCTCGCTCCGCGCTTCCCGAACAACCTGGAGAAAGCGCTCCACC